AGCAGCAGAATTGCAGTTATGAAGTAGCAATAAAGATAATTTTAGGGTTGGGGTCACCACAGTATGAGGGACTGTATCATGGGTCACAGCATTAGGAAGGTTGAGAAGCACTGCTCTAATAGTAAATGCAATGTGTTAGCTACCACATCTATTAGGGCTTCTGTTGCTGCGATAAAAACACTATGACCACAAGCAACTTGGGGAAGAAAGGGTTTATTTCATCTTAAAGCCGGTTCCCCCCATCCAGGGAAGTCAGGGCAGGAACTCAAGTCAGAAACCTGGGAAAATGACTAAAGCAGAGGCCACAGAGGAACCCTGCTTGCTGGATTGTTCCTCTCTGAACCTGCTTTCTTTTTGGCACCCAGAACCATCGACACAGGGCTAGTACTGCCCACAGTGAAATGGGCCTTCCACATCCATTGTCTATCAAGAAAACCTGTGGAGGCATTTTCTCAATTGAGGTTCCCTCTTCCCAAATGACTCTCGTTATGTTGATTGACATAAACCAGCCAACATACTGCCTGTTGTCCAGAAGAGAGAATACATGGGTTCCATGGGTAAGGCTTTTACTAGAGGGGTCAATAAACATTTTAGTTAAGGGCCAGGTAGTAACTAATTTAGGTTTGTTGAGGCTAGTGGGGTCCTTTCTAAAACAATTCAGCTTTGCCTTTGAGTAGCCATGGTCATCATACATGTAAACCATGGGGACGGCTGGACTCCTTTCAAACTTTGTAGAAACAAGAAGTAGACCTAATGCAGCCGAAAGAAACGGCCACGCTTCTTCTAGGCCAAGTTTTGTTACCTATTAGTGCAAATCAAATGACCCTAAACATGGCCACTTCAAACGGTGGCTAGTAGGTAGCATTTTGTCTGATGACTGACTGATCTCTCAGCAGGATTGAGTAGAGGGACTCAGCCAATTCTTGCTTTTCACTTGGTCCAGGGCCTTTGTCATGAGCTCTTTTCTGTAGGGACATGGGTTCTCACATTGTACCTTTATGATAAAATACAGTCTCCTAAGGACTCAGCCCAGCCCAGCATCTCTACAACATTCCGCTGATCAGGGTGCTCACAACAGCTACCCAGCTTCAAGGAGAGGGCACAAAATGTTCCATCTCAGTACATGGAGGACCAAGGAACCTGTGGCCATTTAAAAATATGTACCTGGGAAAATACTGAGAGCCAAACAGGAAAGTGTCCCCAGGCACTGGGATGCAGGAGCCATCGAAGATTCTTTATTGTATGGTTAGCTGGATTGTGTTTTCTTGGTGTGTGTCAACACACTATATATTTTTTATTTCAGTTGTTTTCCCTGGGTCTTGGTATCTTTTCCTTCTCAGAGAAGTGGAGAATAGTGCGTTTTAAGAACTTGTCCCAGTACTGTGGTAATAAGAGTTGCATAATGCCTGGCAAGAAAAGCAGATAGGCAATTGGATGATAAATGAAATATAATCCTTTAATCCCACTTAGTTACAAGCTGTCTTGTGCTACCAGAAGCTGACCTGGTGGCTCTCTGAGCTGCGTAATGGCTTTTTGTGTGTGCGAATTGGCACTCACCACTCTCTGCAAGAGCTGAGCTCATCCTTTCGGCAGAGGCTTGCCTGCAAACCTCTAACACTCTGAGAACGAGAGTGGTTCTCCTCTATCCTGCTCTGTTTCCCGTGGTTGAATGGACTCTAAGTCGCTCTGTCATGCATGCAAGTTCTGAGGGGGATTTTCCACTGCCCAGTTCCAGCGGTCCTTAAGTCACTGAGACTCTTCCGATTCACTCATCTCTCCGGCAGGTTCTCCCTACCGCCGCGTTCATTGTTATAAAACCCTGGGTGCCTGCCATGTAATTTTTAACCCTGCTTTTTCAAAACTAGAGTGATCTGTTCTACATCTTCATGAAACAAGGCCTCCCAGGATCCAGTTTCAGTATCCCCATTTCTAGAGATTTCAAGCAACCAACCTGGGCATAGCATGGTGGACACGCCCCCTTCCCACCCATGCTACGATAGAACACGTACAATTGACATAAACATAACAAAAACACCGAGTGCCTTTTCCGTGGGTAACCACACGGCCAGGCGGGGTTACTGCCTTTGAAGAGTAAGAATGGGAAGACATAATAAATGTCATAAACAGGAGATGAGCTATAAGCAATCAGTGTCTCCATACTCTTGCCTTTGTGTCGGCTCCACCTATTACTGGCAAGAACTGATTGCGTTGTTTGCCTGTCACCTCAAGGTAGCGCTCCCTCCAGAGTCTGTCGTTATTGATTGGCTTTCCTTTATCCCCACAAGAGCTCCTGGATCTATAAACAACAAAAGATGATTAAACGTAGTTTCCCATCAGTAGTTGAGCAGTGAGTTGAGGACTTAGGACCGCAGAGACTTCAACAGTACAGAGAACGCCATTTCGATGGGAAAGTAATGTTTACTGGCTGGTTATTATGTAAAATTAATATTATTGTGTTGAGCCAACCAGCTATGTTATTTTACTGAGTAGCATTTGCTGGTCATTCTTCTTAAATGGTGGCACCTTAAGGGACTCTCTACACTACGGTTGCAGATACAAAGAAATGGAGTTATATATCTCCCTGGTATTGACTGCTCCCTCTTAGAAATAGGAAGATGCTGCACACGAGGCTGTTATCTATGCACAATAAATAAATGAAAGCAAAATATAAAGCCATGGAGTTTGCACACGTCTAACCTGTGTAGCTAAAACTCAGTAGTGTGTGAACCATCTTTTCTTTTTTACTTGGTTTTGGCTGTTTTGAGACAAGGTTTCTCTGTGTAACAGCCCTAGATGTCCTGGAACTCACTCTGTAGACCAGGCTGGCCTCGAACTCACAGAGGTCCGTCTGCCTCTGCCTCCTGAGTGCTGGGATTAAAGGTATGCGCCACCACCGCCAGGCTCAAGAGACTGGAGAGATGGTTTATGAGTTAAGAGCACTGGCTGCTTTTTTAGTGGACCGGAGTGTAACTCCCAGAACCCACATGGAAGCTCACAACCAGTTCCAGGGGATCTGATGGTCTCTCCCAATCTCTTTGCCCACCAAGTATGCACACATGCAGGCAAAAACACTCATACACATAAAGTGAGAGATTTAATTTCATTTAAAATTAAAAGGAGGTAAAACTAACTGCATAATTAGTTTCTTATGTTTTTAAGCTTTGCGTTAAAAATAGTAAGTTACAACTCCCTGGATAAACGTGTTGGACAAGATACGCGAGTAGTTTGTATTGTGTAGTCGTTAAGGAAAATTTACCAGCCATTCTTTGTATGTTTTCCCTCCCAAAAGAACATAATTTACTCCGTTACTCATATAGGATCTGAACGCTACGGTTTCTTGTGTAAAAACCGGAGCGACCACTTCAGTTTGCTCCTTCTCTGGCTTCATCACAGACGGCCCCTGAGTCGGTGAAACTCCTTAACAAGGGAGGTGGGGAAGTACTTAGGATTCTTTTAAACATCAAAAACCTTCAGTTTCCCGGCTCTCTTCAGCCTTGCTCTTTGCCAAGCTCTGGGTGTCTGTCAGGTTTTTTTCCACCACCCGGAAATCTCAGNTCTCTCTCTCTCTCTCTCTCTCTCTCTCTCTCTCTCTCTCTCTCTGTGTGTGTGTGTGTGTGTGTGTGTGTGTGTGTGTGTGTGTGTGTGTGTACACTTGTGCGGTCACAGCATATATGTGGGGTCAGAGGACAGCTTGTGGAAGTACCTTCTCCCCTCCCACCGTGTGGGCTCTCAGGATTGAACTCAGGTCACCAGGCTTGGTAGTGTTCATCTTTCCCCACTGAGCCTGCTCAACGTCCTCCCTCTTGCTTTTAAATAGTGATGGTGTCCTAAAAATAGATATGAAATAGATACCCATGAGAAGCATCATCTGTCTGTCTGCCTGTCTGTCCATTTTGCATCCGGGACCTCAATTTCCCCTCCCTCCTCTCCTCTTGTCTCCTCCCCCAACCTCCCCTCTACACCCCGCTAATCCGCCAAGAGACATTATCCTAACAGCTCTTTTCCAGCGCCTCCTAGAATGTAGTTGGTTTGCCTAAATGCTTGCTCAACTCCCCACCCAAACCGTGGTCTTCTTCTGTGGTCAGAGAAAAACCTAAAGAAGCTGTGGCCTGTTATAGTTCACAAGCTTTCAGCATCCTGGAGAGAACTGCTCCTATACTTTAACTGTGGGAATCCCACCCACCGCCGGTTGATTAAGGGGTGTGCCTAGAACACACTGGCCTTGCCTCAACCACTGGAAGTGTCCTTGACAATAGCTGCTAGGGTACCAAGAATCCTTTGCAGCAAGGCTAAGGTCACCACTACCTCCACTGTCCCATTGCTGTGGTGTCTGGAAGTCCAGAGTCAGGGACTTGCATGGACCTGTGCACTGAGGTATCAGAACTTCGTAAAGTAGCATGGTTGAAGTAGAGAGGGCCCCACTTCAACCTAAACAAAACTAATGGCCAAATGCAGCTATAGCTATGACCAAAGGCATAGATATCTTCTGTTTTATGTGTAACAGTGTTCCAACATAAATGTTTTACCTAGGTTTCCATGCCTCAAATAGTTTGATTAATATAAAATTAAACCAAATATCTTATTAGATATTGAAAAATATGACATACTTTGATATTTATCTGACATGGAGGTAATAAACCGAAATATTACTGAACCAAATAACATCAAAATATTGACTCAACATAAACAAGGTCAGACCACCCTTTTCTCTTTGAGAGGAAGTTCTGACATCTGAAAGAGACTTACAAGTCTAGGTGGGAAGTGAGGCTGTCTGTCACTAGGACCCCACAGGGACTAGGAGAGGACAGACATGCCCAGTCCACACCAGGCCCACAGTGAGGTGGGCAGCATCACCATGGAGATTCTAAGTGTGATTGCTCACATTGTAGGGCCTCCTTACTAGTCCTCAGGGTTATGTGTGCTGTAGGAAACAATCCCGCTGTGTTTGGTTTTCTTTCAACTCATTGACAATGACTCAGGCTCCTGTTATCCTCTCTCAGGTTTTACAGCGGCTGATTAAGTCCAGAGGAAAGTCTCAGAGCAAACACTTGAATGTTCAACTGGTGGCAGCCGATAAACTGGCCCAGTGCCCGCCTGTAAGTAAAATCTTTTCTGTTTTAATCACTGAAGGCTAGTTCCTTTTATTCTACAGCAGTGGTTCTCAATCTGTGTATTATAACCCCTCAGGGGCTCGAATGATCCTTTCACAGGGGTCGCCTAAGACCACAGGAAATCCCAGATATCTACATTATGATTCCTAACAGTGGAAAAGTACAGTTATGAAGTAGCCATGAAAATAAGTGTATGGCTGGTGGTCACCACAACATGAGGGACTGTATTGAAGGGTCGCATCAGGAAGGCTGAGAAGCACTGCTTCAGACATGGTGAAGGATTCTTGCCGTGAGCTGCTACTGTTCCATTGGGTGGGCTCAGGCTTCCGGGGCATGTTGGCATCTGTCTTGGCAGGAGAAGTGAACTCAAAGTGTGAAACCCGCTGTTCCCACTACTTCCTTGATTCCGTTGCCAGGACTTGGGCGCCATGTCTAGTCATGGAACACTTGTAAGAAAAGAAAAAAAGTAAAATACACCAGCTTGGCTTTGTTTCAGCTTTTCTGCCAGAAGATTCCGGTGGGCATGAAAAAGTGTGAGGTGGAAGGTCAAAACTGGCTTGCAGCTAGAGCGTCTCCATGTTTATAACAGATGGGGGGGGATCAATGGCGAGGGGTGAAAACTGTACGCTGCCTAGTGTCGTTGCTAGGAAACACCTGCAGGGTGAGAAGGTGCACCTTGGTGGGCTGGGAAGGGTGGCTGTTCTCACAGGCTCTCGGGCCGTGGTGGTTAGTCATGTGTGCTTGGTCAATTGACTCATGATTTCTCTAAAAGAAATAACGTCTTCTTGGTTGCGTCACTAGAGATATAAATAGGATATATTTATATTTTATTTGTATTTATGCTCTGCAAAAGCATAGGATCCAATTCAAGTACTTGGAGAAGCGACACAGATTGACTATTCAAGCACAGACGAATTAGATAGACCTGAGCGAGATACCTGCTGAGCAAGGTTAGGGTAAAAATTCAAGAAGCATGTGTGTGCGTATGTGGAAACATTCTTAGAACAGTGCCTGGCACATGGCCTACGCTGTCCAGGCGCATCCTGCGCTACGCCGCATATAGTCTGCTGGCCTCCATCCGTATTGGGGTCACTGTTGTATCGCGCCTCCCTGTCATAGTGGGTTTGTAATAAATGTGAGCAGAGGGAGTGACGAGTGGATGAAAGACTGGGCAGGCCTGAAAGGCAAGAACAATGATACATCCTTTCATTAGATATGTAACAAGGGCCAGGGGGCTCTCTCGATGCTTTCTACAGATCATCTGTAATCCCTGCTATGAGCCTGTAAAATACAGCCTAAGCCCCTCTTTATTGCTGGGGCAACTGAAGACAGAGCTCATCAATGAGTTTGTTGAGATCATTCGGCACATTAAGATTAGGAGTGGATCTGTCTGACTTCAAAGCGGTTTCCTCTTCTCCCCAGCACAGCCTCCCTCCCCTACACACACACAGTTATCAGGTTACCGCCCGCAGATAAATCCAGAGCTCTATGTTAAGATGTCTAAAGCCACATTGCCTACTAAGGAAGTTGCTTACAGGGTGGAATGTTTGATTAAACACCGAGAAACTATAAAAGCATATGCCATCCGACCTCTGGCCCTGTAATGTTTCACGGTTGAAGAGAAATGATCTTTACTGGACAGCTACTAAAAGCCAGGGACCGTGCAATTCTTTCTACTTTTTAGGACAATCTTAGAATGGTAGTTATAATTGGTATGGCATTTTAGAACGCAGTCACTAAAAATGGAAATATAATTATAAGAGATTTATTGGGGGAAACGTTTCTTTTTAAGTCAATTTATTAACCCTTGGTTGAAATAATTTCTGGAGGCAATAACTTATGTCCTATTAAAATTGAGCTGCTGAGAACATTCCTGAAGTTTTTAGAGTCAAAGCGTGGGATTCAGCAGCCCTTACAAGGTCCCACTGTGACCTATGCACAGTGTGTCCATTGAAGGAACAAATAATGAAGCAAGGATCATGGTTCAATGTGGCCACACTGTGAGCAAGAGCAATGAGATCGGCGGGTCCCTATGAATCCACCTTCAGGGCGCTGGCCTGAAGTTTAGACTTAAATAAGGGGCATGAGTTCCTGGTCATGGTGTGGCCCTGCCCTTCATTGACACATCAGCTTCTCCATCTGTCCTACTGTCTGTCACCTGTGAAAAGCCTCCTCTTAGAGGACAAGCTCCTTCTCTGACACCTGGACTTCAGCTTTTTCCTCCATCAAAAACCTTCAGTTTCCCGGCTCTCTTCAGCCTTGCTCTTTGCCAAGCTCTGGGTGTCTGTCAGGTTTTTTTCCACCACCCGGAAATCTCAGTGCTTCTGTTCTAGGTATTTCTGAAAATGCATATCCAGAAAACGGCTCCCGGCACCCCCTGTTTCTGCCCCTTCGGCACCTCTGCTCACTCAGTGGTTGCTTTCTTTAGCAGCTGCATGGATCCCACATGCCTCGGCTGCAGAAATAGCTCCATCCTGGGATGACGGAGGTGTTCGGCATGGCAGCTCTCTGGACCTGCTCTGTTCGCTATCACCACAGGCTGTCATCACAGGCATGATAGCGGAGGGGCAAACTGTTCACTGCCTCGGACTTTGCTGATTAAATAGCTCTCCGTCACTTTCCAGGCTTAGGGCTTCCTGCATTGCACGGGAAGCAGCTGATTAGGCATGCCTTTTATATTCATTTTAAAATGTGGCCTTAAAAATTCTGGTTTGCAGAATTCATTGAGTTGCTTCGCTTTGAATTTCCCTTTGATTTTGTTGTAGACTTCTTTAAGAAAAATCCCCTTCCTGCTGTCCTTCGAGTAAGTTGCTCTGTTCAGCTATTTCATTTCCTAAACAGAAAAAAAAAATGTCAAGACACGTAGTCTGTGAGATTCTTCCCAGTTGGAAGCAAGTACTTAGATCGGTGTCATTCAGAAGGTGAAATTTGCTTTTGTTGTGCTTTTGAAAGCCTAGGAGCGTTCCAAACCATCCTTTATACCATGTAGCCACCGTTTAGCAATAAAAAAGCAGTTTGCAATAATCGATCAAGCTTGAGAAAACAGTCCTGTGCTGATGTGTGCATATTCTACCCATTGGCAAAGGGACGCACTTTATTAAAAATTCCTTGTAATTAGCGGTGTGCTGATTGTCCTTACCATAGTGACAGCGTAGTGGGGGACACTCAAGTCCATGTCCCCCGCACTCAACACCTTGCAGTCCGGCTTTGAGCCTTACTTTTTAAATTATTTATTTTATTTTATTTATCAAATATTAAGTGTACAGATTAATGGTTTCACTCCATTCGTCAACAAGCTGTGCATTGCACAGATTCGTCTGCTCTTCTGCAACATGGGACCACCCCTATTCTCCCGTCACCCTTCCCCGTCTCTAAAACTCCCTCTCAATCAAAACTCCCTCTCAATCTTTCCCGTCCCCCTGCCTTCCCGTCCATTCAGCAGCTCTCTACGAGGCTGACTTCTTGGTTTCCATACATAAACAAGAAGTTGTATCTTGCTCATTTGCATTCTTTTACTCAACACACCTCTAGCCATCCCATCTTTCCCACACCCGTATAGTATTTTATTATGTAACTTACTGCATTTTCTTTACCCATCCATTTATTATAAGGCACCTAGGGTGATTCTATATTTTGGCTATTCTGAATAGTCCTGCAATGATCTTGGGGGTGCAAATCTCTCTTAGATATAAATACTTCATCTCAGACCACGTGGTAATTCTACTTTTATGAGGAGCCTCCTGTTTTTGTTTGTTTTCCATAATGACTATACTACTGTCCATTCTCACCAGGAGTGTGTAAGAGTTTCCATTATTTCTTATATTTTTATAATAACCATTCTAACAGGAGTGAGATGGTCTTTTAACTGCGGTTATTTTTGTTGTGTTGTTAAGAATCAAACCCAAGCCTAGGACATCCTAGGCAAATGCTTTAGTGCAGAGCTGTGTCTGGAGCCCCCGTTCTGTTTCTTTGCATAAGGACAAAGTTTCATTCCGCAACGTAGGCTGACCTAGGACTTGCCTGGCTGAACTCGAACTTGTGATTCTTCTGCCTTAGCTTTGCGTGTGCTGGGATTACAGGCTTGAGCCAACATGCGGCACTCATTGGAGTTAGATTCGCATTGCTCCTATAATTAGTGAAGGTGAGCTTTTGTCATGTGCTTGTTGGCCATCTGTATGTTTCATTTTAAAAAGTATCCATGTAGTTCTTTAGCCTGTCTTAAAATTAGGTTGCTTGGTTTTTTGATGTTCGTCTCTTTTGGTTCTGTCTGCATTCTGAATGTCAGTGTGCAGCGTTCCATTTGCAGGCTCCTTCCCTCCCCAGTAGGTCATCTCTCCGTCCTGTCGTCCGCTTTCTTGTGCTGACATTTCTCATCTTCGTGTGGACTCATTTTGTCTATTTTGACTTTCGTTGCCTGTGTATTTAGATTACGATCTAGTTTCTTTTCTTGCCTACACTAATGACTTAAAGAATTTCCCTTGTTTTCATGTAGTCACTTCGTGGTTTCAGGCTTAAGAGTTAATTTTTTTTTCTATTTTGAATTATGTTTTCTGTGTGGTGAGAGAAAAGGATCCGGTTTTATTCTTTGTATAAGCATATCCAATTTTGTCAACTATTTATGGAAGAGACTACGTTTTTTTCCACTATTACATTCCTATCACCTTTGTCAAAACTATTTGTGTTGGTTGTAGCCCAAGATTAGTCAACAGCATTTGGCTAATGTGGGGAGCCCTGAGTTCTAGGCATAGCAACACAGAGATACAGAGAGAGAGGGGGAGAAAAGGAGAGAGAGAGAGAGAGAGAGAGAGAGAGAGAGAGAGAGAGAGAGAGAGAGAGAGAGAGAGAGAGAGAGAGAGAGAGAGAGAGAGAGAGATTGATTGATTGATTGTTAGGATCGTTCCAGTCTAAGAATGGATCTTTAATGTCTTGGTGGGAATAAACAAACCCATATTAATGATTGAGACCTATGTAATCAAATTTGACAGTGAATATCAACAACGATAGGATGAACCTGTGAAACCATGGAGCTGGGTAGAGCAGGGAGGGGCCCTTTGGTGAGCACTGCCCACTGTCCTCTTTCCAGCTATGTCCTTATAGTCAGCCTGTGGTGCTTTGGGGCTGAAGTCATTCTCGTTCTGTTCAAGTAGTCACTGCAGAAACATGGTCTCTATCAGAGCATCGAGGATGGGTCTCAGGTCTCATCTTGTAACTTGCTGAACTCTGTGCTATCCATGGGTGGAGAGGTTTTTGAAGGCAAGAGAGAGTTCTTTGGTTTACTTAGTGGGAAGTGACATTTACAGTGAGGGTTTCTGGCAACCAAAGCTTTAGGTACTAGGTGTTCTGTATCTTGTGACCCACAGGGTTTTCTTTACCTGTTTTATTTCACCCATCATTTCCTCTTCCTAATAAGTTCAGCAAGTCTTCCCAGACCGCTTTGTAAGTAGAGAATGTTAAGCCCCAGCCCCAGACTTTATTTTCTTGATCTCTGCATAGTTCTGAATTAGTCTAGGCGTAACATGGATTATTAAGGGTTTGGGTACTTCAAGCCCTACTTCTCCAACCAGATGGTACATATGACTCTCAAACACAGGGTAAGGTCAGACTTCTTTGCCACTGAATTGCCCATACATTCTGGAACAAAAAAAAAATGCTGAGCAAATATTGTATGAATGAATAAAATGTCCATTGAAAATCATATTGATAAGTGTTCTTGGTGAGCATTTTTCTGTGTAAGCTGACCTGGTTTGAGTCTTCTCAAACCAAGGCAGTGCGGACTGAAGTCACTAGCTTTCGAAGTCCCATGATAAGGGCCTTCAAATTCCTTTCCAGTTAGGCACAAATTTGTCTGCAAAGGTTGATTCAGTGAGCATTTAATAGTAGACTGGGGGAATCTGATCAGTGGGAGAGTATATGTTTAGCTTTCCTGAGTTTGTGGGTTCAACCCTCAGCATCAAAACTACAAAGTGAACACTGGTGATGAGATCATAGTAATGACAGCTTCAAGCATCCTTGGCTCTAAGCGCTGAGAAGAAGCTTAGCTGGGACACTACCAACTCCATGTTTTCTTGTTACCACAGCACTGTCAATGCTGGTGGCAGTAACTATGCATTTGGCTTACTACAGGAAGTTCTTATTTTGGTAAAATGAATTCATAGAAGCAGGGGGAGTGTGGTGAAGGTGGTCTGAGAAGGCTGGCTCGGCACCCTCGCTTCTGCGGGGAGTGCCAGCACGTCCCTCTAGAACTGCTTTCTCTTGGTGAGGCACCGAGGTCCTCTTCCTTTCTCACTGAGGAGCCTATGCATTGGGTTTACCCTCAGTTTTTTTCACAGTTACCCTGCCATAACAGAAGAACCATTCCACCCTTCTGGGGAACAAACACTGCTTCCCATTTTCAGGTCAATGTTGAGCAAAGCTCTTACTGACATAAAGACAGACATCAGCTGCTCCTCGTGTGGTCCCTCCTTCCCCAGTTAAACTGTTCTTAACCATTTCACAAAACAGTCAGATGGTAGCAGCCATCATGGTTGGATGTTCTCCAATATCCATCCCCAACTTTCTTTCCTTATTGTTTTATCATGAGACAGATAAACTAATTTTCATGAGCATTCTGAAAATGAACTGTGTACTTGTTATTACCTTCAACACAGTTACCGTAATATTTCTTTCAAGGGCATGCTCCTGGCTCTAGTCACTTTCAGAACTCCTTTTTGAGGATCAGCATTAATTTGTTTCTTTTGTATTTTGAAGTTGGTGGAATTCAGCTGTATAGGACTATATGGACAAAAGTGTGAATACATGTGTGTTTTCTTATTATTCAGTACTGGCATGTCTGCCTCATTTTTTTTTCCTCTTTAAATCAGGAAAAGTCTGTCTTAGGGTTTCTATTGCTGTGAAGAGACACCATGACCATCGCAACTCTTACAAGGAAAACGTTCATTTGGGTTTTCTTGCTTACAGTATTAGAGGTTCAGTCCATTATAATCACCGAGAGGAGCATGGTACTGTGCAGGCAGACATGATACTGGTTACATCTTGATGATATGCAGGCCACAGGAAGCCGACTAAAACACTTAGCAGTATCTTGAGCATAGGAAACCTCAAAGCCTGTCCCCACAGTGACACACTTCCTCCAACAAGGCCATGCCCTCTTCATCAAAGCCACACCTCCTAATAGTACCACTCCTTGTGAGATTTGGGGGGCCAATTATATTCAAACTCCCACAAGATCCTAATATTTAACAGTTGCTATTATATATGAGGAATGCTACTTATGCCTTAAGTGGGGTTTTCAGTCAAGCCTACAGTGGAAATATGATGGATTTTCTTGTACTCTGCAGGAAATGTTTGATGTTATATTAGATGAGAATCAGCTGGAGGATGCGTGTGAGCATCTGGGCGAGTACTTGGAGGCATACTGGCGTGCCACCCACACAAGCAGTAGCACCCCCATGACCCCATTGCTGGGGAGGAATGTGGGCTCCACAGCCCTTTCACCATATCCCACAGCAATCTCTGGATTACAGGTACCACATTTTTTTGTTTGTTCATTTGGTTTATAACTTTTGCCACTTTATTTTTAGGATTGAATATATAACTAATTGAGATGAAGACTCTGATTGTTCTTAATCTGAAGAAGCATGAGAAAAGGACATAGTATTTTTGTTTGTTAGTTGGTTTGTTTTTAGAGACAGGGTTTCTCTGTGTTGCTTTGGAGCCAGACCTGGAACTAGCTCTTGTAGACCAGGCTGGTCTCGAACTCACAGAAATCCACCTGCCTTTGCCTCCCAGGTGCTGGGATTAAAGGTGTGCACCACCACTGCCCAGCAAGGACATAGTATTTTTTAAAACACTAAAGACTGGAAAGATGGGTCAGCAGTTAAGAATGTTTTCTGCTCTCGAAGAGGACCATGGTTCAGTTACCAGCACCAACATAGTAGCTCATAACCATCTGTAACTCCAGTTCCAGGAGATCTGACCTCCATGGGCACCTGGCACACATGCAGTGCCCAGACATGCATGCAGGCTAAATGTTTATACTTATAAAATAAATAGACCTTAAAATTTGTTTTAATTAAAGAAGAAGTCTAACCCTTACGCTGATAGTGACCTGTCACTGACAAAGCCTGCCCTCTCCACAAGTTTCCCATTCTGGAAAATATCACTATGAATTGATAACGGGTTTTACTTAGATCAGTTCATCTCTAGTAGACTTAATGTCTAGTCAACATAATTGTTCACAACTTCCGCATGGCACCCCAGACAGCTAAGCAGATTCTTCAGGACTGATAGGCCTTTAGCTGCTCTTAACTATTCTTGTCCCACAGACTGCTGACCCTGCCTCCCCCAGCACCTTGTACAGACAGAGTGAGTGAGCAGATTTGGAACTGGTGACAGATCCTCAGTTTCCAGGGGGATCTAAGGGCCTGCGTTGGTCAGTGTAGGGAATGGGGGGGGCAGGGGGATAAGCACAAAGAGGGTCGGAGCTCGTCTCTTCCGCTGCTCTGAGACTTCAGTCAGAACTCGATGTGGCATGCCAGAGGCACTGTGATATAAAATGAGTCCCGCCTTTCTGCATTAATTATTATTTACCATTTATCAAAGAGCTGGAATGGATCCAGACCCCAAGCTGAGGAACATGCAGTCAAATGAGCCTCTTGGCGACATGACTGGTTTTGTTTTAATGGGTTATAATGATAGTCATAATTGAAGATTTTGTAGAGTTAACTCTAAGCTAAATGGCACTCTCTGAAATGCTATTATCACTACATTACTCCACTGCAGACAGCGCCTCTGTAAGCAGGAAAGCTGCCATACAAATGCATTTCTTTTAAGCCTAGAAATGACGTGGAAGATGGATGGTGGTAGTGTTCAGAGTGTCTGCATGCACCGGCACAATTTCTTTCTTGCCTTGTTTTCCTTCTGTGTGCCTGTCTGACTGTAACATTCCCATTGACGTTGGCTGGCTCTGGATGACAATAAAGGGAACAGATGTATGACCCAGTACACTCTGTAGTGTTGGGGGATCTAATGCTGCGCTTTGTGTATAACACTTAACCCTGCAACTGTCTACCTACAGTAGCTCTCGCTGCAGCATTGGTGAGTTAACGTGGTGCTCTTTATCCTGTGGACTACTTCTCCAAGGAACACAGGTGTTTGATGGCATGATCTCTGACCCACTGAATAAGTTCCCTCCTGTATGAAGCTGAAGTACCTGGGCCCTTGGTTACATCAGGTTCCTGCTCTATAGTCTATGTGACTTACCTAAGCTGGTAGACACAAACAGACAGGTGTTCCTAATATAAGAGAAAAAAAAGTCACATAACATATTCTGGGCCATCAAATAACTCCCTTAAGATGTTAATTTAGTTGACAATAGTAAAAGAATTTGGTTTATATCTGAAGATGATTTTTGCAGAACTCAGTTAAGAAAGCAAGAGTATGTAAAGTCCTGAATTAGCTGGCCCCACGAGGCTGTGCATTCCTTTGGGAAAATCTTGTTGAGAGTTTCACATCTATGTCAGATACAGAAACAAGTGCACTGTTTAGTGGGTAGTACAGATAGTAATTTTTTTTTTTTTTGGTTTTTCGAGACAGGGTTTCACTGTGGCTTTGGAGCCTGTCCTGGAGCTAGCTCTGTAGACCAGGCTGGTCTCGACCTCACAGAGATCCTCCTGCCTCTGCCTCCCGAGTGCTGGGATTAAAGGCGTGCGCCACCACCGCCCGGCCCAGATAGTAATCTTTTAGGCTATAAGGATCATCAATCTAGAGCAAAATGAAGTAAGTGTAAAGTGTGTGACTTTAAGAAGAAAGAAGACTTTTATGAATTCATGAAAGGAATCAAATAATAGATCTTATCTAAATTTTATTCCCCAGTAATAAAATAATCCTCATTTTTTTTGCAATGGAAGGAGAGAATTATTAAGTATTAAGCCTCTCTAAGTAGATTAAGTTCTATTTACAAATCACCTTTCAGTTCTGTGTTTCAACAGGAAGTATAGCCATGTGGCATCATATACTAACATTCGTAAACTATCAATAATAAAGCGGCTATAGATGGTGCATCCCAAAGAAGAAGACCAGGAGCTCCAAGCAGAACATTTATGTATCAAAATGCTTTATTAGGTCAGATATTTAGTATCCGTTTTACAGAGCCTGTTACTGCACATGAATGGACATGTTTAGGTGAATGAAGTGGACCTTATCTAACCAGTTAACTGTCTGATAATTGTAGAGTCAGCGAATGAGGCACAGCAACCATTCTACGGAGAATTCTCCCATCGAGAGACGAAGCCTAATGACCTCTGATGAAAATTACCACAACGAGAGGGCTCGTAAGAGTAGGAACCGCTTGTCCTCCAGCTCCCAGCACAGCCGAGACCACTACCCTCTGGTGGAAGAAGATTACCCCGACACGTACCAGGACCCTTACAAGCCCCATAGGAACCGGGGCTCACCTGGGGGATACAGCCATGACTCCCGACAAAGGCTTTGAGGCTGCCGGAACAAACAAACAAAACTACTCATCTGTTGACAATTTGCCATAGCACTGCTAGGAGAAATCAATCATCTTAATTTGGCAAGCACAGCACAGCATCTGCTGTGCGGTGGGCTGCGGTCATTTGATCTAAGGGGCAAGAGTTAAATAGAAATACTTTATGCCCTTGAGTCTAGATGGGTATTCGATGCCCAGTCATATAGGTATTTTTAAGTACTACATTTACATGATAACAGTACCTTTTGTTTTCTTCATAGACTTTAGACACATCAATTTGTAATTTAGGGTACTTATCAAGGCACATATAAAATAATTTCCCGTGTAGGAAATTCCAAATGACCAGTTCCAGTTGGAACCAATTTATAAACCAATTCCTGTTGGAATTTGGGAGAATTGACTGGAAAGTCTACTTGAGCATGTTGAAATCAATTGAAAAATCAGAAAAAAAAGTAACCCAATAAGAAAATCAAAATACTAGTAGAAACCCAAAACCAGCTGTGGTATTTATTTGCTGAAAGCTAAATTTCTACTTCAAGTTGGAAGGTGTAAACATTTTAATAATATGTTAATGTTGCCAGAATGGCTTTTCAACCTCACCAAGTGTATTGATAGTGCCAAAAAAAAAAAAAAAATCTCAGAAATCTTAATGCAGAAATTACATAATCGCCTCAGATTCTAATATTTTTATTTTTCCTGATACAGCTGTTGTATTCCAAGTTATTTTGCTTTCTGTCCAGTCAGTACTGTTAGCCAGTTCGAAGCTGACAAAATAAGGGGGAAAGGAGTTTATTGGCAATGAGAATAAGAAAGAGAAACCCAGGCGTGGCTAGTTATAGGACATGGGAAATGAGGTGCTGTTTCTTCGGTAGTCAGTCTGCGTACAACTACACACATCTGGAGATCTGAAGTCAGATAGCAGAGATGTGGCCAGGCCTTCCTGGGACAAAGGCAGTCGGCTCCAGATGGGAAGTCATCCGTGCCACCACACTCGACCCTGGCACAGGGGTTCTGCCAGCATAGCTCAGTGTCCTTCCCTGACTACACTCAGTCTCCGTCTTTGACTATAAATAATGTTTTAGCAATACACCACAGTTTTTAAATCAAACTAACAACCTTTTTTGTTTGTTTGTTTTTCATGGACATAATCAAATTTGGTACTGAAAGTTACGTTTTCGCAAGAAAAACTAATTGGGAAAAGTTAAAACACTGAATTAAAATCTTGCAGGAAAAAAAAAAACCTGACAGACTCAGAATATATTTGTTCACTAAAAGTAAGGCACTTTTAACATGGGGCCTTAGAGAATTTGGGGACTGCTGTGTTTCATTGCTAGTGAACAGCCTTTACATTTCCAATGAGTGTATGTTTGGAATTGGTGACCCATATCCTAAAGATTAAAGAAGACTTTAATCCAAGAAATTTAGAATTGACTCTTTTATACAAGAAACAAATGTCTTTATGAAAGGACTTGTTTCTAAAATGACACAACGCATGTGTTTTCTAAAACCCTAACTGAAGCTAGACATAAAGGTCTCTTTCTACTAACAAATGCCTTGAAGTCAATGTTTTGAAAACAAGTACAATTAACTTTATATTGTTATTTTCCTCCAAAATTTCAAGACCTGGGCCCTCAAAGCCATGTATCAGTTCATTAATTTTCCTGATTGAGAGAAAACGTTTCCTATTCTTGACCAGTTATTCATATCTCTAGTCCCACCGACCTCATGTGCCCTCCCCTCATCTTGACTGTATGTGCACCCCGTCATGTACCCTGCTCACCTGATAATGAGGCTGCCTGAGATCTTGTAAGTAATCTCACACATTTGATACATTTGAACATGGCCTCAGTCAAATGGACAAGCTGACATCTGATCCCAGCTTGTCATCTCTCTCGTCATCTAGCGAGGCTCACAGAATTTTCTGTTAAGACATTTAAGAGAGCTGTATTCATTGGGCTCTTTATTAAGCATATAATCTTCCATTACTGAATACTTTGTTAGAGCACAGAAGAGCAATCTCCAGCAAACAAACTCTATTTATTACATGTATAGCACATATTTGCATGAGAAAGAAAACATTAGCCAAACATTTTCCTGTATGCTTTACTGGTTTCTTGTTTGTGCGCATAAAAGCATTCAATTGCAGAGAGTACACTTGGGTGTATAAATTTAGAATAGACTGCTGTTCAGCTTTTTCTGCAGTAGCATTAGTAATTTGGTCATTTAACTACTTTAAGATATTTATATTTTATGGCAGGTAGCTGTAACAGCATTTACATATACTTCCTAGTCAACAAAGGTACCATTTCTTTCAACTTTGAAGATTCACTTATTTTTCAAACCTCTCCAGCTTTTCTTTTCCCCCTTTTTGCTCTTCCATGTCATGCTGAAAGAGGGAGGCCCATTTAATCTGTACACAAAACTCATCATCATTAGCCATCAAAAGTTCGTACCTAGTTTGCTTTGCAGTCCTGTCCAAAAGCTAATAAAATTGAAAAGGGTAAAATGTATATTTTTGATGGATGTATATACTATTTCATTTTAATTTGGCATATCTTTCATCTTCCTCCTCTAAGTTTCTCTCCTCCAAAAGAAGAAGAGATATGACTCTTACTTTCCTTTTAAATGCTCAGAGTTGCTTGTGTAAATGACAGAAATCCAAATATATATGAAATAAAAGTTTTACTTTTGTGCAATATACCAAGAACCTTTAAGAAATTCCACAGTTACTTTGTTTTAATTCATTTCACTCAAAATGGCAAATTATGACAAGCAAGAGAACTATTTCTACATCATTGGAGGCTGTTTTCACTTACAGAATAAATCATGGTAGAATTCTGTGGTTCTTTATGATCAGTAACAATGCAGTCTCGTCCAGCTATGAGGAACTGTAGTCCTGGGAAAGGAAGAAATGCAGTTTGTGGGTCCTTGTGCTTATTCCCAAGGCTATAATGTTACGCCACCATCATAGTCAACACTGGTACCTTGTTTATGCTAACACTTAAAACAAAGCCTAGTGGTGTTTACGATTTGCTCTCATCTCTATATAACTCTGATGGGGAGATTTGGATTGCTAGTGATTAGAGGCATGGTTGTCCTAAAAAGACTCTGAATTGTGTGACTATTCAAATCATTGCATTTCATCCTTATGAAATGAGTTTTAAAGTCTGAAACAAATTGAGACAACAATTAGTTCTACTTGTTATTCTAAATAGTGTGTTATTTACTCCAATTTATTATTGTTGTTTGCAGAAATGTATTTTTGGAATGTTAACCTCTTCATACCTGCATACTTGAACTTGTCTTTTGTGTGGGGGCCTTAAATTTCATAATAGAAGAATGGGGGAAGCAAAAGGGGAATGAAGACAAGGAGACTGTGGCTAAAGAAGCTCTCCATCTTCAGCTCTTTAAATGAACAAGATATGGAGACAGTATGTCTCCAAGATACGGAGACAGCATGTCAGTTAAGAATGTTCTAGGCAACCTTAATTTGCAAGCTAGTATATTTTCTTATATAATTTTATTTTGCTATTTGCTAAAAACAGAAGAACACAATACCAACATACAAACTGCCCTATCTCTCTGATGATATGTGCACTACCTCTTCTCTAGAGAAAACAGTCTGTCTGTAAAGGGAAACGTCCTGGTTGTAGAGCGCTTGTTCTGACAACTTTGCCGCAGTTGGTGGTTAAAGGTGTTGAGATACAGCTGCCCTTTAGATTTTACATGGTTCTCAAGTGCTTTCACCATGATTTCATTTCCATGTCAGTAAGATTTTCTTGGCATTGATTTATGACTTATCATGACATGAGTTTAAGAAGAAGCCATCCTAGGAAAGAAAGCAAACTGAAAGGAACTACCTCTGTGTGCAAAGGGTGGCTGATAGGTCTGAGGAAGAGAACTCCAGAGACCTGCTGTTTTAAAGGCAGAGCTGGTTGATCCTCGCCTTGTGTGGGCACGGAGGGTGTGTTGTAGCCACTTACTGGGTGTGGATCTGCACTGTCTAGAACTCTCATGTAATTGGAACAAACGTCTTATCAATGTTTCAAATAAATGCTCCTGTAGCCCTTATTCCTTTATATTTGCCTTTGTCTTTCATGACAGTGTAACACTTTTTAATTATATAAAACTCATCCTTGAATAACCATGAGTTATTTTACAAGAAATTATGTAACAAAATGTGTTTTATTAGTCCTTTATATCTTTAAACATTGTCAACACTGTAACTGTTATCTAGGCTATCGACTTCAGCTGTGTCTGTGTGGCATACACCCGTCCTTCTCTTTGAAATCATAATGATGATTAAACCAGTCAATGTAAGAGCTGTTAGGTGGACATAAAGAATAACTTCTTGTTGAGTTGAGCAATCTAGTTAATCGAAATAGCAAAACTAGCTCATTTGGGCAGATAGCCACAGCATTCAGAAATAAATCTTCAGGATTTCTTCTTGTGTTAAAAGAGCCTTTCTCCAATGAAATGCATCCTCTGATAGCAATGTTTTTATCTACTTGTAGATAATTTAATTCCAAATGCTGCACGTCATGAAAGTATATTATGAGGAGATTAGAAAGTATCTCATCGGATAATCTTAATTAAGGGCTGTAGCTCCCACTTGCCATAAATACATATAAATAAGAGGCAACAGTGCTGAGCTTTGGGGAGTTATAATTTTCCATGAACCTTTCTTTTTGGTGGATGTAAAATGTTCACACAGAGAGGGAAGAAAATGTCACCAGTGAATTCAAAATAGTTTAAGGAATACACTGATTCTTCCTCGTTTGAAAGTTGTAAAGAGTTAAAATGGGCGCTGGGAGCTGACAGTAACAGGCCTGTAGCTTTTCAAGCATTCTGAGTTATATTTTGAACACTTCAATCTCCCAACAAATGGCTATATCTATATTTATGCAGGGGCCTTTCTCGCCCTACTCGCATGCCACTTCACACACTTCACCGAGATCAGTGTGAATTCCATATGCACAGGGATATTACCGACGCGGGGTCATTAACGCTATATTGTTGCATACTATTTTTTATATGCCTTACAATATTTTCTGGGATGTTATTAAAATGAAAGCATTTTATTGCCAAAATAAACCTATGTTGTTACTTCTGCATTAGCAGTAGAAAAATAATGTAGCAAAAATATATATTGTACAGTACAAAATTATAATATATATATATTTTGCCAATAAATGAAAATAGATTGAGGAGAAAGAAGCACATTTGTTATAGCACAAACTTACAACAAAACCCACTGTTAAATTTGGCAGTCCTGTTTCTAGAAGTACGTAGATTTGGTTCTGTGTTTTATCATATTTATTTCATCTCTCATCTTTGTAACTTTGCTGCTTGATGTTTTCCAGCAACTTATTTCATAGCCTTCGATCTGTGAGTGTAATTACTTATTTTCTCCTTAGATAAAACATATAAATTTTAGTTTGTGTTAAGACTCATACTATATTACTATATTTTCTGTTCTTGTTTCTCCTCCTTTGTTAACAAATGGCACACAGTTGAGCTCACGGCTCCTCTGGGCTTTGGATGTTTGAAAGTTTATGTTTTTCCCAGCCTCAAGTTAGAGATCAGTAAAATGTCCACATGGAAAAATATTAAGTAGGGATTCTTTGTTTTGTTTTGTTTTACTTGATACTATTGAAGCATAAGTTAACGCCATTAGCTGTATTTTTTAAGGGGTGGGAGGGAATAAAAAAATAACATTACTAATAGGAAACATACTAAAAATAATAATGGTGAAATGATATAAAAAGATTCCCCCCTATTCCGAGGGCTGTTGATAATCCCAGGCTATTCCTACGTCTCTGCTGATGTGGTCGGGAAAATGCCTTTGTCAAATAACTTTCCTTTTATTTTGGTTATTTATTTTCATAATTTGTCCCTTTCATTTTTGTTATATAGGTATGCATAGCGTTCTGCAAGGCATGCTGGGTAAAATACACTATGCAAATGTATGTGCTGCATGCTTTGTTCCTTCTGCTCTAGTGGCTTCCAAGAAAAAAAATGTGGTGTTATTTTTGTGAACAAAGACATTTAACAAAGAAAATGCAGAGTGCATGCATACAGTATCCTAATTTCTATGGATTTGTTTTATGGAATTTAAATGTGTACAAAAAACTGCATTCATTTTTTTCTTTTATATAATAAATTAAAAAAAGCACTGAAACCAGCATTCTACCTCTCATTTATATTCTGGAAATGTACAGAGGAAATGCCAGACGCCACAAAGAATATTCCTGTAGCTTTTAATGGAAAATAAATCTATACATTTACTCTGTAAAGAAAAAAGATTCAATGAAGTGACTATTTCCTGATTATTCTGTTAGATTCTGAGTTACCAAGAAAGAATGTTGTAGTGGAAAGGATGTACAAATTATACATACATGTGGCATATACCAGAAAAAAAAATGTGTGAAATAAGGCTGGATACAGAAAGTATACTATGTAACCCTTAATGTTCTCAAGACACCATTAAATGGTTAGTGTGGCAATTGCCAGAAGTTTCCAGAATGACAGCTCTGGACTTCTGTGATTGGGGTAGAGATTGCGACTGGACACATGCACATAACCCCGGCGTCTGTTGCCTGTGTTCTGTATCAGGATTGGAATTTGACTTTCATCCCACTGTGGTGGACAAGAAGCTCAAGGGAAATATGCAAGACGTTAGTAGAATGAGAATCACCAAGTCAGTCCACAAACTTGAGCACATTTAATTCATGTGAGCTCCCTGAAAAACCAGGCAGAGTATAGATTAACAGACCCAGCTACAGTTAAGAAAACCAAAAGCTTAGTGTCACTTCTTTCTTAGAAGTATTTAATGCGCGCGCGCGCGCGCGCACACACACACACACACACACACACACACACACACACACCAAAGACCCTCCAGCTAAGTAGTAAGCTGAAGCACACAAAGCAGCGTGCAAATACAAGGTGTTGGCTGTGTGAATAATTTTGTTATTGGGGGAATCTTTCCTAAGACCACCCCAACAGTCAGCCAACAATCTGAAACTCCCAACTGGGAAACAACAGTTCCTTGCTGTTGCGTTAACATGGCATACGCTTGAAACCACCTCGCTCGCCTTTAGTACATTTCCACTGGGCTGTAGGGAGAAATCTCGTCTTTTCACATAACATGCAAGTCAGCATGGTGAGTTCGCTGTGGACTCTAACCACCGCCTTCCAGCAATAACTAAGTACAAGTTACTCAGCGTCCCTATATTCAGATCTGTTACTGTTGTAGCTTTGTTGTGTGACCATTAGATTTGCCTTGCAGTTTATTAGTGATGTCCACTTCTTGTATTCCTTTGTGAAACATCAAACTTCTTTCAACAGGCAGTTGCTCATTTGGCTAAAGTTTATCCTCAGTCAGGCTCCTTTAAGACTGGTCTTAGTTGGGGCTTAGAATTAGACTTAACACCCAGGCATCTAATGAATGTCCTACTTGTGAGTTTTCTCTGACTGAAGGGATCACTTTATACTAATGACTCCCAACCCTTTGAAACAACTATCTGGGGATTATTTTGCAATAATCCTGGTATGTTTTCCCCCTAGAAATGGTTACTAATCAACTACCTATAGAAGCCATATGACACCGAAGACTCAATGGTCTCCTAGTTCAATTTCTGTAGATTTTCTTTCTTCCTTCTCACAATGACTCTATTTCCTTAATTTCAGCTTCCCTAACTACGGGAACACAGAGCAGTGTCTTTGTGGAAAGGGACCATCCTACTCTTATTTGGCTGTCCACCCTCTAGAGTTAGCTGGGAAATGTTTCTGCCAGGGCAGAAATACAATGCACGGATAAAGCTCACCGTTTCTCTTTAGTTAGGGACCACAACCCAGAATCTGTTTTCCAATACCTAGAAACAGCTGTTTTCTTGTGGTGTAACCAGTGCTCTGCTTATTAACAGTAGAATGGTAAAGCAGATGCCTCATGTTCTCATATCTTAAAGTAGAAGTCTTTTGTGGCATTTTGCTCATGACTTAAAAAATTGATAAAATATTTAGGAGGAGAAACAAACACTTTGACATCCCTCATCAAAGTTTCCCAGTTACAGCTACAGTGCCAATTTTGTATTTAATCTATTAAAGTTAGTGAAGATGCTACAGCCGAACCCATCTCCCTTTTCTTGTGAGGGGCACTTGGAAAATAGCCTAAGAACGTTTCTGGAATAGAGTTCTAAAACATGAAATCCTAACATCACAAGTAAATATGGGTCTGGCATACATTAATAAGTTGCCAAAGATGTGTGGGAGTTTGTAAAACTGTCTCAAGAGTTGCTAAAGCGTTGCCTACACTGGATGAGAATGGAAATACTAAAGAGTTCATGTAAATCAGTCATGCAAACATCACTTTTTCTAAAAAGCCTACAGGCTATTAAATAAATCCAGATTTAATACTCTAACTGTACAGACTAGTCTAGTGATTTTATTCTCCTTTACGAATGTCTCGAAGACTGGCAATTGGACACAAGTGTCTAAAGACGATGAAGCACTCCCTTTTCCAGTATATGGTTAGGAGGAGTCTGGTGGAAAGGTCCAGGGCTTCATTTCTTGGGGCTGTTGTGGATGAGGTGGTAACAGGAACAGCTCCAGGGGCCTTGCACAAGTATTCCACCTTTCCCCATCTCTACCTTTTTTCTTCCCTTCTTCCTTTTTTAAAAATCAAAGTTAAAGAGAATAGGAAAAGATGAAGCCGCTTCTGCCTTTTGTTTACTTTTGTGGAAGAAGTAGACAAGCCCAGTGACCTCTCTCCTAAGTACTCGGTTTACAGTAGTCAAGACTATCTATCAGAGTATTCGGGTAACCTCAGAGATCAACCCTCTGGCTTCTACATCGGGAAGACTGAGATCTAGAGATTTAACCTGCTTAGCTAAAAGGAACTAAGAAGTAGACAAAACCAAAAAGGACACAAGGACAAGAACTCTGCTGATCAAGTTCACCAACGATTACTTGTATTTTAGTTTCCAACCACTTGTCCTGCAGCGGACGCAGAGATGGACACCCGCATACCCAGAGGCACAACTGTTCAACTTGTAGGCGAAAAGACGGAAGAGCACAGAGAACATTTGGCCATCTATTTAACAGAAAGGTGACTCTTGAATGAGAGGAAAAGACGTTTGGGTCCTAAAGGAACCAGCGAGTGTCTGTCGACAGCGTTTTGGGACTCGACCGCTCAGCACAGACAGCTTCTGTGATCACTAACCCGGGGGGAGACTTGAGAACTGTTCTAACCAAGAGTGGCCTGAGAGCAGAGGGAGAATGGAGCGGGGAGAGAGCCGATGTGCAAAGACAGAGGTAAGAAAAACTGCAACAACATCAAAAAACAACACAACAAAAACAGGCCAACGACTTCAGCTGCTTCAGTCAGCGGGCAAAAGGCTCAACAGAGACTTAAAGCTCACCGTCGTCGAGGCCCCAACCTGGGACTTTTGGAAATGTGTGTAGGGCGGGAGGTGGGCATGGCTACACAGTTACATTGTGGCTCCAGACTCAAAAGGAACCTCAAACCCGGGCGCCGGCATCCCAGCCCCAGCCACCTCCGCCGCCCCTCCCCGCTGCAGAGGCCTCCAGCCCCCAAGCCCCGCCTCCAGCCCCCAAGCCCCGCCTCCAGCCCCCAAGCCCCGCCTCCAGCTCCGCGCCTGCGCACTGCCCCAGCCCCGCCCCGCCCGGCCCCGCCCCAGCCCCGGCGGCCACTGGAGAGGAGCTGGGGGAGGACGGTGGCCCGCGAGGCTCGAGCAGACAACGCGGCGGCGATGTCCGCGAGCCAGGCGAGCGCCGCGGCGGTAGCGGCGGGGCCTCGCGCGTGGCTGGGCGGCCTGGGCTGCGGCCTCCCCGCGGGTCCCTGGAAGCGGGCGCGCGGAGGGCGCGGGAGCAGTGGCGGAGGCCCCGGCGCGTCCTTCTGCCCCGCAGCCTGAGCCCGGGCGGCTGGAGGGCTTCGGCTGCCCGAGGATGGGAATTCTCTTTACCCGGATCTGGAGGCTGTTCAATCACCAGGGTGAGCCTGGGCAGGGCGGGGTGGTCCCCGGCGGCTCGCCTTTGTCTCCCTCCCGCCGTACACCCATTGCTCCGATTTGATCTCGAGCGCCAAAGGTGTCCTGCCCCACGCCGGGGACCTAAGCACACGACCCGGCCTGCCTCCCTCCCCGACGCCTGCCCGCAGTTGGGTTTGGGCCGCACGGGGAGAAGATGGGGTTCTAGGGTGAAGGCTGGGGGCGCTGGCCTTGGGCCTGGCGGCGCCACCGAGCCCACGGGTTGCAGAATGCGGAAAACTGGAACTCGTGCTTGGACTGTCCGGTTCGCTTCGGGCGGCTCTCTTGCGGGGAGAGAAGGAGGGGGGGACCCACGCCGCGGAACGGTGCTGGGTGGCTCTCCTTTGCCCCGGTTGTTTCTTTGGTAAAGGTCAAGCCTAAGGTCGTTTTCGTTCTTGGGTTGTTAGAGGTGGGTTTGTTTGTTTTGTTTTGGCTTTGGTTTTTTTTTTTAAGGGGGGGGGCGCCTAGTGTTTCGCTGAAAGCTTTTAAAATGACACCTCAGGAGACGTTCGTTAGCCTTAGGTAACTAGCTGGTTACTGTTTTAAGTTCGCCTAAACGCAGACATTGAGGCGGAATGCATAGGGGATTTATTTTAAAAAAATATTCACAAGATGAGTGTGTGAAACTGGAGAGAATACAGGTCTAACAACTACATAGCTACTAAAACGAAACGTAGCGCTTTTTAAAAGAAAAAGAAACTCTAGTTGCAATTCATTCCTTCTCAACAACATGCTGTTTTTCTCTTGTATAAGCTGGTAGCGTTGTTGCTCCCCCACCCCCCAGCCCGGCTTTTTCCAGTTAAAACTTAATGAACGGTGGTGCCTACTCTTCAGACCTGCCTGCTTCTCCTCCAGAATACAGCTGACTTTATAGGAAGACAAGCACTGGGCCTTAGAATCCCCAGTGGGTTCTGCTTTTTTAATAATAATTTTTTAAAAAAAACGATAGTTTAGATAACGGTACTAAATGAAGTGGAAGGGTATTCCCATCAGCGCTGGTCAGCAGTGTGTGCGGATGTGTGTGGGGTTGTCAGTTCCTGTGGCTTCACAGTTCTGTGGGTCTAGATAGTCTCACCTAGAAAAGGAGAAATTTGAGGAGCCGACAGTTTTTGACTATTTAATCTCTAGGTTTGAAGTACTGAAGGTCACATTGTTGCAAAACTGGGGATGTTTTTGTTTGTGTGTCGAGTTCTTTCCTCTTGAATCTAGTGAAGCGGGGGTTTCAGTTCTGCTGTGAGGGGTCGGAAAATGTTATGGGTCAAAGGGTCTCTGGTATTGTCTTCACGTTCATCTGTGAGTCAGTGATTAAACTGTTTCTGTAACTTAAAAATGAATTAGGACTTAAAAAAATACGCAGCAAGTAATAGCAGGAATGCAGTGGTATCACTACAAGTCTTACAGCTTGCGTTTTGACTGTTATTTGTTGAACTCGTTGTTTGAAAATTATGGGAAGAATTAATAGAGTTCAGTTTCTAGAAAATTACCAGCCACTATAGTGAAATTGGGAAGAAACGAATTGTTAAATGGTGTGTCACCACACAGTAACTTTATGGTGTTCAGTATTCTGTCTCACATCTGGTTGGCATTTTTGGACTTGTGTTGAATGGGACCCATTAGTTAGGTGTATCTTTGATGCTTCATTTTGCCAAAGATTCAGGACTAATGTCTATATTATTTTCATAGACTCACCTGGAAAGGGACTCTGGGTAATTGTAGAGTTCGTAATGTTGATGAACTCAGGGAGAGGCTTAGCACTCTGGCACTGTCCAGAAGAAGAGCAGCCAGCGGCGATAGTGAACTGCCTACCGCTCAACCTATGTAGGTGGCACACAGATTCAGTAGAGCTCAAACTTTAGATATTGTAATGTGTTTACATCACTAAAAAAAGTATCTGAAGCTGGTGGATGGTCTACTTCACCATCCCCAACTGAGAGATTAGAGGATGTTGTGGTGGTGGGGTCATCCCAGTACTCAATATTGCAAAGTAGGAGGATCAGAAGTTTAAGGTTATCCTCAGCTACCTACTGAATTCAAAGCCATCCTGGGCTACATGAGATTCTGTCTCCAAAAAAAAAAAAAAAGTTTCAGCAATCCTTGAAAGTAGTTATTGCCCTGGAAAAGAGGAAAGAGATTTCCACCAGACAGTTGGCAAGGAAACAAAAATGAAATGTCACTGCTTATTGGTCTTTTGAGAAGGTGTTCGCGCCTTTTTCTTTTTTACTCCATGTTGACTCAGTGGTTGTATTGTGACCCTTTAGTTTGTTTAGATGCGGGCTTGCTGTTGGTAACTCTATGTCTAAAAGAGCTCTTTACCAGTGGTTTGTTAGATGAACCCGTGTTTGGGCCATCACTTAGTCTAGGTCAGTGTTTCTCATCCTGTGGGTCACAACCCGTCTGGGGTCGAATGACTCTTTCACAGGGGCCACTTAAGGCCATCAGAAAACACAGTTATTTACATTATGATTAATAACAGGAGCAAGATTACAGATAGGAAGTAGCAATGAAAATAATTTTATGGTCAGGGGTCACTGCAACATGTGGAACTGATATTAAAGGGTCGCAGCGTTAGGGAGGTTGGGAGCCACTGCTCCTGGTGGTGGGAATAAGTCGGGGAATAAAACAGGCAGATCTCTATGCCTTCGTGAAGTGTTTATTGTAGTCTAGGAAAGCAAGGAAGAAACTCAGCCTGCCTCTACAGATAAATTAGCAGCTGGTGATCTTAGTGACTCTTGCAACACCCTGTTCCAGGTGTTTCAGCAGGGTTGGTTAATCTGCCCCAGTTGCGTTACTCTCCAAACTTTCTGCTTTACAAATCCACATTAGGGCGTTATTTATTTACAGCGATAAGCCTGGGCTTTCAAACATGCATCTCTAGTGCCAGCGTGTTATACATTCCCCACCCCGACTGCATGCACGCACACACACACACACACACACACACACACACACACACACACACGAGATGGTGGGTGAAAGAACCTTGCCAAGGCCGTGGACTTTCCCTGTTGACAACCATCTGTTGCCCTTCCTATTAGTTGTCGGGAAGGGAATGGAGTTGTGGAGGAGTGCCTGGAAAGCTGCTCACTCTGCCTAGATCTGGTGTTGATCTGTTCCTGGTGTGTTCTCTTTCCAAGGGAACTGAGGCATGGAGGCAAGTGCAGAAGGCCGGTAACTCGCCTAGGAGCCTGCGCCTCATCAGGACGCTGCCTTAAGCTCCAGGTGCACCCTGCCTGCACTCTGGTCAGGTGTACAGAGTGGAGCTTCCTGGAGGGACACCGCAGGAGGAAGTGCCTGTTCTTGGTGACAGTGTGTGCTCTCTGGACAAGCCGATTGTAGCGCACGCACCTTTACCCTTAGTACGTGGCTCTTGCGTGCGTGTAGTGATTAGTTTTATCTTCTTACTAGTCTGTTGTTTAATCAGTACTAGATATTTTCTTTGTAAAACTTGCCAACCTCAGTTACTGTGGGATTTCTATCTCCTAGATATTGCGTCGTTTCTTCCCTGTCTGCCTCCCCCCAGGTGGTTTCTTAGTAGCAAGTCTCTGCTCCCAGAGCCTCCTCACTGGTCTGCGAATGGCAAGGTTATTTTCAGCTTTTAGAAATAAACTTTATGATGCTTTTTAGTCCCCCAAGTTGAATTTTAGTACAAGACAGCTTGATAGACAGTGCTTTCCTAACCTTTGTATCGTCCAGGCTGATTTCTTTGCTCACCGAAAGCTACCTCATTGCCAGCATGTTTTGCTTTAGGCTCTGCTGGCTGAGGGCGACAGGAATGAACATGGCAAATGGAGCTTCTACTTGAGCAGCTGTGTCCCAGCTTTTGCTGTTGGGACACAACTTGTCATCTACACAGTGGTAGTCAGAGATGCAGGTTTAGACAATGCGTAGCTGCCTGGGTATGTCAAAGAAAATGAAAGAGGAAGGACCCATGGACAACAAGAAGCGTTTTTATGACGAAACAGCATTGACTGGCAAGGTAAAGCCCAGATCAGACTCCGAATCCCAGCCGAGAGCAATAGTGTGGTGGTGTTTGGGCTTTCCTGGGTGCAGGAACATTGTGAGAAAGACCTTCTAAATGCAAACTCTCACAAAGCAGTAATTGCAATGACACAGGTGTTAAAGAGTTGGAATGGCCAAAGTCTAAATGACACTTGTCCTCAGTAACATTACTTCCTAACATGCTGTATTGTAGGTTCTATGGAGTATTTGTTCGGGAGCACACTATGAGACACAATTCTAGCACTTGCTGACTCCAGGATTGCGTTCGCTGTAGAATGCTGTTAGGGCTGCTGATGAGGATGGCAGTGGCGAAGAGCCTCAGGTGTGAGGGAGTTGATGCGTGTGCGAGCAGGCCTGATCTGCTCCTGGAGCGTGCTGGGCTAAGCTGGTCTGTGACTGCTGCACTGCCAGCTTCAGCCTTTAGCCTCTGACACAGCGCTGACTTGATGCTACGGCTCTCATCGTGACTCACCCTAGACCTTTGATTAAATGGTCATTGGTACTTTATTGTAAGCGCATTCCTCCCTAGTAAAGTTGGAAGAGAATTTGGCTTGTGGATGTGAGGCCACATGAGGGGCTGAGCCACTGGATTACAGAGTCTCCCCTGGGTTGCACTGCTGTGTTGCTATTTTTGGTTTGGTTTTGGTTTGGTTTTAGGTTTGGTTTTTATAGTCTGTGGCTCTTTGGAGAGTTTAAGTTTTGCACATGTTTGATTTGAGTTCCTTCTTTTTTGTCACAGCAACCTTTTGTGTTACCTTACATTCCCTTTGTGGCTGTTTTAGACATCTCATTTGGGCTGTGTATTTATGTATTTGGGACTTGGGTAGTTTTGTAAAATTAGAAGAGCATTGTCTCCACAGTAGAGAATAGTGCTAGCAAAATTAAATAGAAAATCAATGAGATAATCCGGAGATGAGGTATACTGAACAGCTGTATGGATTTTAGTGCCAGCCAAGAGAGGAATTAGATTTGGATTAAGACATTCCCCCTCTGTCAAACTCCTTCCTCCCTTTCACCTGGTTCCCAATGGGTAACTCCTTTCTCCTGTCTGCTTTATCTGCAGGGGACATAGAAGGCCTCTGACTTTGGGTATTTCCATCACCTTCTTACCTTTCCTGCTCTGCCTTCACTCAACCCTAACTTTTGCCTGTTAGGTCGTCTATCATTCCCTATCTTGTAGACTATAAAATGATGTTCTCTTTGCAGGCTAGATCTAATATCTGGCTGATTGTTTTTTTCCATCCTGGATAGTCTTACCTGCTAAAAGCTTCCTGCTATGTCTCCTGATCTGGGTTCTCACAACGCATTATCCACCATATGCTCCAACCCCTTGGTTTCTTTATTTCTAGGTACTCTGGCCTTTATTTAGAAGGTATCCTGAGAAAATGAAGTTCTTATGCTACCAGCCTCTTCTGCCCTCTGCCTTGCCTTAGCATCTGTTAATGCATGGTGGTTTTGTTCATTGTTCTTGCCTCAGTTGTCCTGTTCAGCACGTGTCTAGGTGTGACTCCCCCCTTCCCATGTGGCCAGGTGTGACCCTCCTGCCTTCAAAAAGCTTTCTTAGGTTTTTTTTTTTATGTAGATAATCCTTTCTAGGCACTAAGAAAAACAGTGATTTTAGAATTGGGCCATAAGTCCCTGAAGGCCTAGCTAAAGATCACAAAACCAAACAGAAACAAGGAACCGCAACTGCTGTGCAATCCGAGTGAGGGTTCTGACATGAAAGCTGCTATTTTAGGGAACCAGATAGTTTTCCTGCCAGTGTCTCCTCCTAGTCAATGTATCTTTTAAAGCTCAATTTAGAATTTAATTACTGACATTTTTGAATGATTCTTTATTATGCAAGGATCATAGTACATTTAACAGTAAGCTGGCTCTCATTTCAGCTACGTTTTCCCTGATGACCAACCAAAATGATACCAAAGAGACCCTCTTTAAAACTGAGATTTGTCTTCAGAGGTTAAAGGATTCAACATCATTGAGAATGTAAAACTCGATAGATAGCTCAGGCTCTGGAAGCAAATAGGGCAGAAAAACAGCAGGCTTTTGAAGAGTGTTGGCACTGCCGAAGTGTGCTCTCACAGTCTCCTTAGGTGATTAAGGGCTGTGCAAAATAGATAATGTGCTTATCATCCGTGGGCACATTGTTTACACACACGTGTGTGCTGAAGTCATCTTTATAGTTACAGACCATAGATTCTTGTATTTTGTATTACTTTTGGATGAGTTCTATTTATTTTGTAATGTTTTTAGGAGATTATTTTTTTCAGAGTACCAGAAATCTGTCCAAATTTTGTCCTGTAGCTAATCATGGGGTAGTACAAAATGTATTCCTCAGGATGGAGCTGATGTTTTAGAAAGGCTCTAGTTTGTATTAAAACCGAGTCTTACTCTGCTGCTGTTAGCCTAGGGGATGCTGTGTAAACTGTGCTAGCCTGGAACTCAGCTGCCATGCCTCTGGAGCGCTGTGGTTAGAGAGGTGTGCCACCACAGTCCAAGAAGGCCCACTATAAAGTCAGTATTCAACTAGTAAATTTCTTTTTGTTTTAATACTTTTGTAGGTTCTTGTATTAACAGAACTGAAGAAAGCATACATCATCAAATGTGTAATGCTTACTTTTACAAGGAAAAAGTAAAATTAGGCAGTCTGTGCTAATTAGAAGTATACCTAGCAGAAAGGTGCCCTAGCTGCTATGCTGAATTTCCTGATTCTGATGCACATGTGACCCCTCTGGGAAGCATCGTCCGTAGCCATGATGCCTGTAACAGACTTGGCTGGAGTTCCCTGCATTTCGAGAGTTTTATGATTTTAATTTAACCATAAAATATGCTTTTCCTCAGAGGAAATTGGTCACTGTTGCTTTATTATAAAAACACTAAAAATAAAGTATTTTTAAAAATCTAAAATCGGTAAGTCTCAGAAACAACAGTTAGGTTGCCTGTGAGTGACTCCTGAGTGTTGGGCCAGGGTGAGGGAGCCTGTCCTTGTCAGCTAGTTGGGTTTGTTTTGTTTTTTAAGACGGTGCCTTCCCATGTTGCCTGGTCCAGCCTAGAACTTGTGATCTTCCTGTTAGCCTCCTAAGGTGCTTGTCTAGTTCCTGGCTTGTCAAGTTCGTTTGAAGCATTTGTCTTTATTGTACTTGCTGATGTTCTTCTGGGGTGCTCATTTTTGTGTGTTGCTTTCTCTGAGTTTGTCTACTCTCAGATGGTAGCAGGGTTGAGCTTGTGGACTCAGGAGATGGAAACCCACTAGAGTACTATCAGTTGGTGTAGTCTGGTGACTTTTCCATAACATGCTTTAGATAAATATATTGACCCTTTGCCAAAGTGTCGATCACTTTGTCTGTGAGCCTGTGCCTTCCCCCTAGTCATCTCCAAGTATGGAATGTAATAGGCCCTGGGGTCTTCAAAGGATGCTGAGAAACTATGTGATGAAGGGTCATCATGTCACTTGAGGACTCCAGAGAGAGGTGCTAAGCTGCCTGGGGTTGACTTGTTAAACTGGATTGAGTTCAATTTCTCTATTACTTGATGTTGTACCTTTTATGACATGGGCACCTATATATTAGGATCCCCCATCTGGGGTAAATGGTAATGATCTGTAAAATGCCTGAATAGTAAAGATCTCCTTACTCTAATGTTAGAATCCTCAACATTGATTCTTCATAGCATGAATATTAATTTAGTGCTTATTAAATACCCATCTTTTCCCAGGAAGAATTATAGTTACCAGGAATATATGTGTTCCATGTGTTTGAAGGGTACCTGATTAAGCTTAGATTTGTGCACATGCAAATAATTATAGGTGCTTTGCTGTGGCTCTGGTAGAATGAAAACCCAAACCATATAAAATTAAGAGTTCGCTAAATAAAGAATTAGAGAGAAAACAAAAGAAAAACAAGGCACCAGAGACAGGGAGAAAATTTAGGAACTGTGATGCCCCAGAAGCGAGGGTGAGTCCCTGCCACTGTAGCTGGAAGGCCTTACAGTTGTTTGTCATAACAGTTCTGTGGGTAAGTATACTCGTCATTTAGTTACCCACAGAAAGGGTTCTTCTTTGTCTCCCTCTTTTCCGCACTCCACATGGACATACCCAAGGGATGCCTGAATTTTCACAGATGGAGACAGTGACAGTGACAGACTTTAGTCATTTCTAATTGTTGTGATCACATTTGGGGATACTTTGCTGAGCATAGACCTTTATAGGCCAAGAGAGAAAGAACAGTGCTCCAACTGCCTGGAGAGGTTGATGTGGGAGGTCTCTGTAGAGTGAGGACAGGCAGAGAAAGTGAGCTCAACCACACTTCTTGTTGGAATATTCTTTGGATTCTAAGAAAGTTTGAAAGTGCTGTGTGCCGACTTATATGACATTACAGAGAAGTGAAGTAGGGGAGTGTGTGTCGTAAGTCACTGTTGGTTTGTTTATTTCAGAGCACAAAGTTATCATTGTTGGGCTGGATAATGCGGGAAAAACCACCATCCTTTACCAGTTGTAAGTATTAACTGCTTAAAGTTTAATCTTGTTTCTGGTTACTCTTTCTTCTTTTGTGATATTCAGTCAATGAAATCAATGAAAAACTATGTGGCTCCAAGGAGACTCCCCATAAGCCGGGACCCAGACTTAAACAGCTGTTTGTGGTGAGCCAGAATTTACATGACATCAGACATGCTCATTGTATTGAGCATCTAGCTTTTAGAAAACAGGAAAATACTGGATTATACAGTTTGCTGAGACTATCTAATATTCTGAAGCCATTATTTATTTTGAGCTCATAGAAAAAGGACACTTGGGTATGAAATAAAGAAGTCATGCTGATTTGTCCCTTGATGGAATCCTGAGATGAGCAAGCTTCCTCACTGATTTTGTGAACTTTTCCCCTCCTAGTTCCATGAATGAAGTTGTACATACATCCCCCACAATAGGAAGTAATGTGGAAGAGATCGTGGTTAATAATACCCGTTTCCTGATGTGGGATATTGGTGGTCAAGAATCTCTTCGTTCTTCCTGGAACACTTACTATACTAACACTGAGGTAATAATCTCAATGCTGACACACAAGCATTCTGAGTCCTTGAGAAGCTTTAGGATTTGAGTCATTATAGTCCTTTAAAAACAGGACAGTACTTTGACTTTAGAGTGTAAGCATTGTCTGCTATGCTCGACTCTAGTTGTCTTCCATTCCTTGTTTCAAATCCTTGACTGTATATTCACTATTAAGTCTCTATAGGGAGAATGGGTGGTTGGTTGATTGGGTTGCTTGATAAAGTAGTTTATTTAATGACTTACATCTCATGATTTCTGATTGCATTTTCTTCTCACTATTTATATGTGGCTAAGTGGAAGAAATCCTAGCCAAGTGAAAGGGCTCTTCTGTGGTTTGAGTCCTAGCCAGCTTTTGCTGTGTATCTTCTTTTATTCAGTGCAGTTACACTTAAAGATACCTCTTGATTATAAATCATTTTAGACATAATCATATGCTTTTATTTACATGTTAATGTTCCAAGAGAAAAATTTAAACCTATGACACATTCATTATGTAGGCCTATAAATTGAAAGGTCGCACCAATGGTTTTTGTGGTGTGGATGATAAGATCTTAAAAATATTCTACACATATGTAAAGATGATATTCAAATCACTAATGATGCTACTAAGTGTCTCTCATGGTCTGGCCCCAGCTTTCGTTAGCATTCCATTGTATTTGGAGGGAATGGATGTATGGCTTATAAAGGTGTATGGAATGCCCCCATATAAATTGCTCCAGGCGTTGTCAGCTTTGAAAAGGGTTTATTAAAATACTATGTTAGAATGAGTATCACAATAATAAAGCTATCAAATGAAATCTTGCAGTTGGTAGAAACTGAAGAGTAAAAAGGCTAAGAATCACAATGGTTTATTTGGAAATTACCAAGTTCTAAAAAATAAAAAAAAATGTGTTTTAATAACAGGCAATGTGAGCATTGTGCGTACAGTAACCGCACATTTGCTCTGCTTCCCTCTTGCCTGATGCTCTTGGAGTTAAGAGTGCAGTGGGGTCTCATCGTCTGTTCAACACAGGCTGTGTTTGCATATCAGTGCCCTGGATATAAGGAAGCTCTTGTTTTTAGATGCCAGTTAATACTTCTAGTGTTTGGGTTTTGTTTTAAATTACATTGTAGTGTAAATACAGGGATATAGGCTCATTAGTATTTATGTAGTAATTTAGAAAAAAGTGTTCGCGTCATGTTCTTGTCCTTTGTTTTACTTAAAAATGAGTAAGTGTGCCGGGCGCCAGTGGTGCACTTGGAAGGCAGAGACAGGCAGATCTCTGTGAGTTTGAGGCCAGTCTGGTCTAGTTCTGAGACAGGCTCCAAAGCTACACAGAAACCCTGTCTCAAAAAAAAAAAAAAAAATTGAGTAAATGTGTTTGAGTTACAAATGAGTCAGAACCCCAGGCTTTAATAAAGGGAAAATAATAAGCACCCCTGGGTCTCTTACATTACAGAAGATTTTAGTATCTTGATATTAAATAAGTATCTTATTTTGTAAAAATACAAAATAAGTACCTTGGATTTTCAGACACCAGGTTCTCTAAGTCACTAACGATTTTTTGGTGATTGCTTTAGTTTGTGATCGTTGTCGTGGACAGCACAGACAGAGAGAGGATCTCTGTGACTCGAGAAGAGCTCTACAGAATGCTAGCCCACGAGGTAAGTCTGCTGCGGTGGGGGGGGGGAGGGCCTTCGTATTACATTTGATATGTGCTTTACAGTTCCTCGTAAGGATTATTATTGCAGTTTTAAAAAATAGTAATCTCTTGGTCATGTTTGCATGTCATTCCTGTTTAGTGATTGATACTTCCCAAATTTGAAGTGTGTCTGGAAGCAGGAGAAAGATGGTGCAAGCAATCACAGATTGCTATTTAACTTTGATAAATCTAATTTAGATGCTTCACTGAGCAAAAGGAATTTCTACAAGTAGTTTTCCTTTTCTGTATGGGTAGATTATTCATACAGTGGGTTATCATTTGACAGTTTGACAGGCATATCACAAGGACCTGGATGTATAACAGTTCTTGAGTTCTGTTATCAAACTAATATTTAAACTTAGTTGCTCTTAGGTATTTTTTTTAATAATTTTTTAAATTTTCCCCCTTTCACTAAATGAAATTATATCACTAGCTTATTATTATGCTAAGTCCTGCTAGTAGGATTTTGAAGTCAAAATTTAAATAATTTTACTACTGTAGTCAAAATTTAAGTTAGTTAGGGCTGTGCATATAGGTCACTGGTAGAGTGCTGGCATCCATGAGGTGCAGGCCTTGACTGGTCACAAACTTAACAGATTTCATTTGCCTCTGCCTCTGAGTATCTGGATTAAAGGTTTGAACCACCATACGTAGCCAGAGACTTTGAGTCTCTGCAGGACACTCCATAATACAAACAAAGAAATCTACTTTCTTTCTTTACATATTGAGGTCAACAGTAATCTGAATATCAGAAATGTTTAAAAGGCAGTTTGACAGGCACATCACAGTCATTTAAAGAAAACAGTAACAGTGTACACACACCCCCCGTTTGTGACCTGCCCTGCCATGGGCTTTTTTTGACAATACTAGTGAGCCTTAGTAATTGTATAGTAATACCTGTACAATGAGCCTTAAATTCAGATCACCTTTGCCCTTCCCTCATTCCCTCTTGATTGCTTTACCATTTTACAAACCTGGTCTACATGCCCGTCTTTATTTAGATTACCTGAAGCCTGGCTAACTTCATAAAGATCATGTCCCACCATAGGGTTTAGCATAGGGCACCAACTATTGTACCAAAGTTCACATGATAAATTTATTGACTTATAGGAGTATGGGTAAAGGATTACTTAAAGGAACATGGCCGACACAGAGGCAGTATTACCCAAAAGTCCATACTGTGCTGGTTGACTTCTTCATGACAGTAGCATTCCTGGAACTCCTTGCAACTTGCAAATAGCTCTGATGATCCAGAGAGTCTCTTTTCCCTAGTAGTCATTACTAGCTTATAACTTGGGGAAGAAGCCTTTTTGTGTATATGTCTTGTAAGTTACAGGAACTTCCTGAGACTTGTGAGTTGTTTACTTTCTCATTCTTAATCATGGCTTCCAATGTCCTTTTTCTGTTTGGGACTCAAATTCTGGCATTCATATCAAACATTTTAGGGTTTAAAAAAATACATCTTGGGCTGGCTGGAGAGAATGATGGCTCAGTGGTTAAGAGCTCTGGCTGCTCTTCCAGAGGACCAGGGTTCTCTTCCCAGCACCCACATGGTAGTTCACAACTATAACTCCAAGATCTGACACCTTCACACAGACATACATGCAGGCAAAACACCAATGCAAATAAAATAAACATAATTAAAACTAAATGATACATCCTGTCATTCATTGTTCATTCACTTACCAAGTTCGGAAGGTAAGAAAGCCATAAAAGAGGCAGACAATGAAAGTTTTTTTTTTTTTTATAAAATACTTTTGTATTTTATAAAAAGAGACAAAACATTCTTTATTTCAGAGTGGAGTTTTATAGACACTTTACAAGGGAAAACACAAGCATATACTGTCTCTTGAATATATGTTTATCTTTAGCAGGAAGCTTCTGTTTGATCAGTCATTAATTGGCTGATATATAGCAGGCTCCATTTGAAATAGAGCTAAAGTCTTTGAACCTTTCTGCCTGGAAACACTAACCTGGCCACTTCGCTCTCCCGTGTCTGTTTCACTGAGGCCCAGAAAGCTTATGTGACTCTACCGTTTTTTAAAGAGCCAGGATCTGAATATAACAACTATTCTTGAATGGGTTTTACTCATTCAAGTAAATGGGTTCACACATTCTATTGAGACCCCTCGCTAGGAGACTAAGATAAAAAGGAGACTGAGTAGGGGAGATGGGGAGCCACTTAAAGATGGTACTGGAAGGCTGGAGCAGAGACAGCGGCAGATCTCTGGTGGGTGACAAATGGGTAGAAGAATGAACGCACAGAAATGGAATTAGTTGATTGTTTCATAGCTACACAATCTTTGTTTAGGGTTTCTCTGTGTAACCCTGGCTGTCTGGAAATCATTCTGTAAATTAGGCTGCCTTGATTCCACCTGCCTGCACCTCCCAAGTTCTGGGATTAAAGGCATGTGACTCTGCAGTGCACTCCAAAACATGGGGCTCCAAGAACAGCTTCTCAAGGCTTCATCTTATAATAAACTGGCTTCTTAGAGCCCAACCCCTATTGGTATGCCTTGCTCAGCCTTGATGTAGGGGGAAAGGACTTGGTCCTGTCTCAATGTGCCAGGCTTTCTTGACTCCCCATGGGAGGCCTTACACCCTTTCAGTGGAGTAGGTAAGGAAACGGGTTGTGGGCGAGCAGGAACTGTGTTTGGTATGTGAAATAAATAAACAAAAATAAAATGAAAGACAATAAAAAACATACTAAACTCTGACTATAATTATAGTAGGAAGGCTGCTTGTTTGTTTCCCGACCACCCAGCAGCTCAGACCCGAAATAATCACACAGAAACTATTTTAAATCATTGCTTGGCCCATTAGCTCTGCCTTCTTATTGGCTAACTCTTACATCTTAATTTAACCCATCTCCATTAATCTGTGCATCACCACGAGGTCGTGGCCTACCAGCAAAGTTTCAGCACGGCTTTCTCCAGCTATGGCTCCATAGCTTCTCCCTGACTCTGCCTTCTTCCTTCCAGCGTTCAGTTTAGTTTCCTTTCCTAACTAAGTTCTGTCCTGCTATAGTTCCAAAATAGTTTCTTTATTCATTAATGGTATTCACAGCATAAAGAGGGGAATCCCACATCATGGTTAATTTTAAAGTAGTTTCAGACAGCAAAATCTAAAATTTCTTTGACTCAAATTCTAGAAGTTGTCTTCCCAAATGAAGCTTTGTGAAACAAAGTGAGGATATTGGTTTATGACAAAGTAGATGTTTGCATTTGCTGCTGTTCGCATGACTAAACTAATAGATGTGTTAGAAAATTTTCTTCTGTATGGGCTGTTGGACCCAGGTCCCACCTGTGCCTGACAAGAACTCTGCCACTGAGTTATGCCCCCAGTCTTTAAAAATCATGTTTGGTTTTGCAGTGTCTCATTAAGCTACTCAGGCTGACTTTGAATATGCATTGAGCATGCCTTAGCCTCCCAGTATTTGTGAGATTGAGCCTGCACCATCAGGCCTGGGAATTTCACATTCTTGAGATCAGATGTGTAATTTGTATAGTAGAGAACATTTAAATTAGCTTATGAACAAAAGGTTACCATTGTTTACCCTTAATTTTGATAGTTTACAAATACAATTTAATAAATAGCTTTTAATCCAATATGCTTTCTATTATTGTCATTATGTTTGGTCTTGAGGTTATATAATAAAAAGCAAAGATTCTCCAACCTTTTGAATATTTAAAAAAGGTAAAATACCCGTTTTATGACTGCTGTTCTTGTGATCGTTTTAAGTAATCAAGAACTCCATTGATGCCAGCCTGAGATTCTCCTAAAGTATGAGTTTTGAGATCTAGAAAGGGAATTACAGTTTTAGTTTAGAGACCTTTCTATTTATTTTTATTGCTCTGTTTGGGGTGTGTGTGTATGTTTTCACATGCCGGGGAGGCCTGATGCTGATGTCAGGTGTTTAGATTCATCTCTACTTTTATAGAGGCAATCACTAGCTGAACTTGGAACTCTGTTTTGGGCATGCCTGGCTATGCAGCTTTCTCTGAGTCCTCGGCTCCACCCCCCCCCCCCCCCCCCCCCCCCCCCCCCCCCCCCCCCC